CGTTTTGACGCAGAATCGAAACTGCGACATTAAAAGATGGTGATTATTTTCATCAACTTTTCCTGTTTTTCGGTTTCAATACAGCACGTTTCAACTTTCGCTTATGAAAAGACGTTTTTATAACCTTAGAAACGAGCCAGATTTGGGTAAAAATGTCGGTGATTTGATAGATTCCTGACTAAATTATTTCATCTTTCATTGTACTAGAAATTTTTATTATTTTCACATTCAAGAGACGAAGTAAAGCAATTATCATGTTRTTTGTTTTGCAAAGTCKGCAAAATAGTGTATAATATCGTGAGTTATTTTAGCGCGCAAATCGATCTTATTGCGTTGATCTTTTAAAACACTCGCTGTCAAATCTGAAAATCATCGCGCTATTAATGGGATCATAATGGCTTTGGCTTAAGTCTGTGAGGATAATAGTACCAGTCATGATATTAAATGGTCTAAGACATGTCTGACTTTCTTGTAACTTCCCATATCATTCAATAAGATTTCTTTTTTTCCTCATCTCTATAAAGGAAACGAAMGAAAGATAGACTCTTGACTGAACACGGAATATTCTAAATTGACATTCTCAAAGTCTAAAASGGACGTGATCTAGAATCTCGATCGACGCWTGACGCCGATTTGATCGTAGCGTGGTAATTGTTATACGTTGCATGATCTAAGCGTGCGCATAATTACAAATATGGATCTTCGGCCAGAAGGAATTTACCTGTCATTACCGACGGTATCAGTTTTCTTTGTACTGTACTGATAATTTCATAGCTGGGTACATTGTCGGTGATAAAGTGCATGATGGAASCTAAATGAACACTCCAAAACGATTAATCTAAATACAAAGCTACAAGATGTCATGCGCTTTTTTGCGTAGTACACTGTATGATTCACTGGGTTCACAGGCTTAAACCGAACTATTCGTATCGCGTCACACCATTTTTAGCTTGACGGTAACTTAATACAGGTGCATTGTGACTTAGACTCTCGACATTTTCTACTTGGTTGGGTCAACAGCARAATTGTGACGAACAACTACACGATTATATCAGAACGTTGGTTAAATATATATGGCTTSAAGATTGCGATTTGTGTAGCTTTGAAGCCATGGATTCTAATGGGACAATGACAGACGATCCTGCAYCGCACATTATAGCACTGTCCGTGGTCAATATGATTTTTAGCGCCGCTGGTACAATAGGCAATGTGGTGGTTTGTGTGGTCATCATTGCTAACAGAGATCTTCAGATTATTACCAACTAYTTTATTTTCAGTCTAGCGATTGCTGATTTACTAGTGTGTACCATCGCACAACCCATGTATGTGGCATTTCTACTARGATTTGAAGACGGAAAATTTATTGCTATAAGACGTGTATTCACGTTTGTATCTGTACTTTCGTCTGTAAGTAACCTTTGGGCTGTTACAATCGATCGATTTCTAGCAATATCGTCGCCTTTAAAATATACCCAGCGTCTCAGCGTTCGACGCGTTAGTATCCTACTAGTGGTGATTTGGTTTGTAGCTGTAAGCCTTGGCGTAATGGCTGGACTGGTGCGTACAGCTCGTAAAATAGTCCAATTTCTAACGATGTTTATGACAGCSTGTGTTGTGCCGCTGTACATACGTATATTTCTCGTTGCACGACGCCATGCAAGACTTATAACTCATCAAATGACATATTTTAACAGAATGCAATTTGCTGCAGTTCAGATTCGAAAAGAGCGGGAAAATATCGCTGCAAAAACAGTGGGTACCGTTTTGCTGATATTTGCACTTTGTTGGCTTCCTATAGAAATAGTACCGTTCATATACACAAGTCTTCCTGAAATAGGGAAGAATGCGTTTGTTTGGGCTAATACTCTTGCGCTCTGTTCCTCTGCTCTCAATCCTCTTGTTTACAGCTTGAAAATGGAAAGTTTTCGCAGAAAGGTTCGCAAAGTACTTGAAACCAAACATGTAAGCCATTCAGCCAGCGAAAAAAGAGCAGTGCACTTACCAAGTCTTCCAAGTATCTCGGCAAAAAACGAAGAAACGAACGTCTAGTGGCTTTATTGCTAAGAAAATATTTATGCTATTAAACTGACCTCAAGACGTACATAATGATGACAAATCGACACTCGACTAAAGCACAAGGATGAAGACGACTTTGCCGAGTTAGTAACGTGGTAATYGGTGTCGAGCTCGTAGGATRCAATCGGAATTCASATACTAAAGGATTTGTTCTATTTCTTAGGCRCCGAGAAGACATATCGTTTTATTSTAGACAGTTCCCTAACAGGACTAAAAGGGATCCTGTTCAGTATKAACTGTAATCAACATAGATGTAAGAAAGAACATACAACGCACTTCGTTTTGTCAACACCTTACTTTCTTGAAGATATATCATCATTATTAACCGCGTTATGAAGCGTTAGAAGTGAGCTTGTTGGAATATCCACAAGCATATTTAGTCTCGACCGTGTGGCCATATTGTGTGAAATATTGTAAATACTGAATTTAAAATTAGATTATGGTACTTATGGGCTATTTTTACAGGAATCTTTTGAGACTTTGAATACTTGTTCTAATAAAAAACACTGGGCTAGAATAAAGARTATCATCTGGTTTGGCTTATGGACCCTAAAATTATGACATTKGCCTTCTTCCTGTTTTGTTAAACCTTTGACTTACATTATCAATTACTAAACTACTGTATTATTGATTTCTTTCTCTTTTGAAATTATGGCTTCTTATTTAACCATCCAACGTATATTTCTGTACATTTATCATTGTGAATAAATTTATTGATTATTAATGTTTTTAATAGATTAATGATACATGTTTTTGCTTGTTGTGCAAGAGCGAACAAAGGCCATACTTTGAATTCCTTTTGATGCGTATTCCACATGTTGATTTACTTAACATCATTGATGTACTATTGTTGATGSCCTCTACAAGTTATCTATAAGGAAAATCTAGCGAAGAAAACATTTAAAAATCTTGTCTTCAAAACTTGAATTTTGCAGCTTTTCAACAAAGGTGTGAAATCAATTTTCGTTAATCCGATTTAGTATTGTTGATTTCCAATTAACTCCWGAGTGTTAGTAGTTTACTTTAGGGACTAGTCTATAAGACTGTGTTTTTAAGACCGTATTGCTTATTTATTCCAGCTGCCAGTGCGGTCTATGGGGYCTTGCTCAGCCAATTTTTACAAGGATACGCAAACATAAAAAGGTAGAWGATATTCAATTATAATTGGTGGGTGGGGCTGGCCGAATCGAKAGAACTGGGCATGGAGTTCTCATCAATGACCTTGTCCAGATTTTACACTGCCATGATGACTGCTTTTAGCTCACAGTTATGTAAAAAGATAAATTTAACACCGTAAAAAAGTATGTGGAAAAACTTAGTAAGTTTTTCCACATACTTTTTTACGGTGTTAAATTTATCTTTTTACATAACTGTTTCTTTAGAAACACCGACGCAGCTCACACTAGTTTACCGCTAGTTCCCACCATTTTGCTTTTAGCTCAGATACCCTCTGCGGTGAGAGTTAAGAGATGTTATTATCAAGGGAATGCAAGATTGAGCTCATTCAGCTAGCAGCTTCTCTATCGTTCATAAATTCATTATTCTATTTACTGGAATCTTTTCGTTTAATCARCAGATGAGATCCTCACATGTTATGACCATTAAAATTCGTGTGCGGTACCTTTTATGAGCAAATATTGAATCTATCTATATCTTCACTTTAAATGCTTGTCGGAACTTCTTAGTTGCTGCGCAACATTACCCTTTTCTCTAAATTAAATTCCAAATGTTTGCTTTCCAAACTTCACTCGGTAGTATTCTATATGCCGAAATAATTGGCACTTTTTTTTGGCAAACTGCATTCGTGTGGTTTGGACGAGTAGATAAATAAGGCATCAGTTCCCAAAATTGTTCTTCATAATAGATACGACGTGGCTGTTTCAAATTATTAAGTCTTAAGACCCAAATCTTTTATTCAGAGCTGCATATGTAGCTACTAACATTAGTTTCAACTAAATTTATATAATTAGGTATAGAGTTTTGGTTTTTGAATTATAAGTGTTTCATGTATTGGTGACCACACCTCTTAGTTGAACAACTCAACGTGAACAGCAATATCACTAATGATGCCGATCCAAATCGGTTATTGGGACTTTTTGATGAGCTTAGTTCAGTTGATGTAGTTTATCATGACCTACAAGGGTCGATTGTACYATA